GCCCAGTTGGACAGTAAGAACACGAGTAACAGAGGAGGAGCAGAAGAGATTTGAAGAACTTACAGGTTTGGAGGCGAAAATCGGATTTTCAAGCGAAGAGACACCCCTGAGTGACAACAACAAAGCCAAATCCACCAGATGGATGCTAGATGTGGGCGATGATAATGTTGGTTAGAGGGGGTTGCACTGTAGCTCTGGGTCGCTGGGTTGTCTGGGTGGGAAGATGGACAGTAAGGAAGAAATTTGAAGGGGCAAGTGACGTATATGTAAGAGGAGAAGAGGCGCCAAAAATTCGAATTTGAGAAGACGGCGTGGGACTGCTGGGTTGGCCGTTCGAGGCCAATGAATGAACGACACATGTCTATGACAAGACCGGCGTCAGCCATAAAGAGACAGGTTGAGAAGTCGAGGCACCGACTGAGCAAGTCATGGGGATGAACGTGGAAATTAGCGCGGCGAATGATTTGAGGTAAGTGATCGAGCAAACGAATTACCTCTGCCGGAGAAGTTAATCCCGGTCACGCTAGCGCGACGAGTGATTTGAGATGGGTAACCGAACATGCGAATTACCTCGGCTGGAGAAGTTAATCCCGGTCACGCTAGCGTGGACGGAATTAAGGGGCAATTAAGAGGGAGATTCCTAACTTGACGCGGCCGAGCTTAGTGGGCCGACATAAACAGAACCGAGCTAGGTTTTGTCCAGTCAAACATTGTATGCGCGTTGAACCAAGTGATCAGTCCGGTCAAGTTGGAATAACTTTGGACCTTCAGACTGGCAAAGATGTGTGTACCATTGAGTTGGACAGATTTAGTCCGAAGATCAGACTGACCGAGCATGAGCCCGGTCATAACGGAGAAGCTCGGTCGAGTCCGTGGTCAGAATCCGTCAAGGCAATCGAGGAATTATCACGGTAGTAAGGTGATGACCCAGCGCCGCCCAAGTATAGCTCGGTAGAGAGCATTGCGCGGCGCCGCAAGCCGGCATGGAGGAGATCCTGCTGTTCGTGCATGCCAACTGCTTGACGGTTTCGTTAGGTGGTGTCTAGTTGTATTGGCATTGACACGTGGGGAAATGTGAGAGGGGAGCAGGTCCACGCGTCCCAAGATGAGTGGGCACGAGAGCGTGCGTAAAAACTATATAAACGGGGCGGCGACCCCATACTGAGGTCTGGACATTTTTTATGATCACATCTCACCTACCACCTTCTCTCTCTCTTTTCTCTCTTGCAGGGTGTTAACTTGATCGTCGGAGGGACTTTCCAGCATCACACCCACCGGGTAGCTTACCGTTGTTGTGTTAGGTTAGTCGGAACGAAGCGAAACTTGGACGTGAGAAGTACGGATAGACCAGATATTTGCTTCCCGTACATATGACAAAGATTGAATTGATGAAGTGTGAGATTTATATATAAAATAAGGGATTTTTATTGATAAGTCCAATTTAGAAGTGTTTTAACCCAAGAAGTTCATGAAGGAATTTTTTAACCCATTTAGTCCCATGTATGTATAGTTTTATTCCATAAAGTCCATTTTCTTGATTTACACTATTTTCTTGGACACTTATGCCCTTATATTTAATTTTGATACTCTTATAAATATTTTTTCAACGATTAGCAATTTAATGATGTGAACATTCATATTTTAAAATTCACATTTGTAGGAATGTAAATTGGCCCGTGGGTGGCCCGAAACCCGCACGCGAGCCAGGGCGGGCCCGGCCCGTTGACAATGTGAATATTCACATTGACATGTTAAAATTCACATTAATATGAGTGTAAAATTGGCCCCCGTCCCGTGGCGGAGCGAAACCCGCCCGCGGTCCATGGGCGGCCCGGGGCGGGCCCGGTCCGGCCCGTTGACAATGTGAATATTCACATTGACATTTTAACATTCACATTGATAAGAGTATAAAATTGGGCCGCGGCCCATGGGCGGCCAAAAGCCCGCCCGCAGCCTGGGGCGGGCCCGGCCCGGCCCGTTGACAATGTGAATATTCACATTGACATGTTAACATTCACATTGATAGGAGTGTAAAATTAGCCCGTGCCTCGTAGCTGCCCGAAACCCGCCCACGGCCCGTGGGCGGGCCCGGCCCGGCCTGTTGACAATGTGAATGTTCACATTGACATGTTAACATTCACATTAATAAGAGTATAAAACTAGACAGCAGCCCAGGGCGGACCCGACTCGGCCCGGCCCGACCCGTTGACAATGTGAATATTCACATTGATATGTTAACATTCACATTAATAGGAGCGTAAAATTGGCCCCCGTCCCGTGGCGGCGCGAAACCCGCCAGCGGCCCATGGGCGGCCCCGGTCCGGTCCGTTGACAATGTGAATATTCACATTGACATGTTAACATTCACATTGATAAGAGTATAAAATTGGCCCGCGGCCCGGGGCTGGCCCGGCCCGGCCCTTTGACAATGTGAATATTCACATTGACATGTTAACATTCACATTGATAAGAGTGTAAAATTGGCCCGTAGCCCGTGGGCGGCCCGAAGCCCGACCGCAGCCCGAGGCGGGCTTGGCCTGACCCGTGACAATGTGAATATTCACATTGACATGTTAACATGTACATTGATAGGAGTGCAAAATTAACCCGCGCCCCGTGGCTGCCCGAAACCCGTCCATGACCCGTGGGCGGCCCGGGGCGGGCCCGGCTCGGCCTGTTGACAATGTGAATATTCACATTGACATGTTAATATTCACATTGATAAGAGTGTACAATTGGCCCATGACCCGTGGACAGCCCGAAGCCCGACCTCAGGCTAGGGCGGGCCCGGCCCGTTGGCAATGTGAATATTCACATTGACATGTTAACATTCACATTAATAGGAGTGTAAAATTGGCCCGCAGCCCGTGGGCGGCCCGAAGCCCGATCGCAGCCCGAGGCAGACTTCGCCCGACCCGTGACAATGTGAATATTCACATTGGCATGTTAACATTAACATTGATAGGAGTGTAAAACTTGTCCGCTGCCCGAAGCTCGCCCGTGGCCCGGGGTAGGCTCGGACCCAAACCCGGGCTACCCCGGGCCGCCCACGGGCTTCGGGCCGCCCATGGGACGCGAGTCAATTTTACACTCTTATCAATGTGAATGTTAACATGTCAATGTGAATATTCACATTGTCAACAGGCCGGGCTAGGCCCGCCTCGGGCTGCCCACGGGCCGTGGGCTTGTTTCCGGCAGCCACGGGGCACGGGCTAATGTTACACTCTTATCAATGTGAGTGTTAACATGTCAATGTAAATATTCACGTTGTCAACGGGCCGGGCCCGCGTCGGCCCGGGGCCGTCCTTCGGGCTGCCCACGGGTCATGGGCTAATTTTACACTCTTATCAATGTTAATGTTAATATGTCAATGTGAATATTCACATTGTCAACGAGCCGAGCCGGGCCTGCCCTGGGCAGCGGGCGGGCTTCGGGCCGCCCACGGGCCACGGGTCAATTTTACACTCCTATCAATGTGATTGTTAATCTGTCAATGTGAATATTCACATTGTCAACGGTCCGGACCGGGCTCGCCCCGGGCCGCCCATGGGACGCGAGTCAATTTTACACTCTTATCAATGTGAATGTTAATATGTCAATGTGAATATTCACATTGTCAACAGGCCAGGTCGAGCCCGCCCCGGGCCGCCCACGGGCCGTGGGCTAGTTTCGGGCAGCCACGGGGCGCGAGCTAATTTTATACTCTTATCAATGTGAATGTTAACATGTCAATGTGAACATTCACATTGTCAACAGGCCGAGCCGGGCCCGCCCCGGGCCGCCCACGGGCCGTGGGCTAGTTTCCGGCAGCCACGGGGCGCGAGCTAATTTTATACTCTTATCAATGTGAATGTTAACATGTCAATGTGAACATTCACATTGTCAACAGGCCGAGCCGGGCCCGCCCCGGGCCGCCCACGGGCCGTGGGCTAGTTTCCGGCAGCCACGGGGCGCGAGCTAATTTTATACTCTTATCAATGTGAATGTTAACATGTCAATGTGAACATTCACATTGTCAACAGGCCGAGCCGGGCCGTCCCGGGCGACGGGCTGGTTTCGGGCCGCCCACGGGCCGCAGGCCAATTTTACACTCCTATCAATGTGAATGTTAACTTGTCAATGTGAATATTCATATTATCAACGGGCCGGGGCGGGCCTATTTTTTTATTTTTACTGTATTTTTTTTAATATTCTAAGTATTTTTTTTAATTTTTAGATGTACTCGACATAAATATACTTAAAAAATATAATATTTGTGAAAAAACTTTAAAAAAATTCACTAAATACCAAATATAAATATATATATATATATATAATTTAAGTACATTTTTTGTATTTTTGTGTATTTGTTGATTTTTTAAAATATTTTTTACAAATATGTTACTTTTTAGATACATTTAAATAAGGTACATCTAAAAAAGTAAAAAAATTGATTAAATTTTAAAAATATTGACTAAAAATAAAAAAAATACGAAAAATAAAAAATTTAATTTCTAGAAATTTGAATCCAAAAAATTGAAACTGAACACACTAAATAAGATCCTCCAAAAACATATATTTTTGTTTTTCTATATTCCGTGTTTGGTTACTTCGGATATAGGAAGTTCGGAAAGTATATGATGCATAAGGGAGATATGCAATACCCCCATGGTTAATGGCTGAGTCAGAAATTTAATATAGGGAGCACCTACTAATTATAATCTCAAAATTTTTCTTCCACAATCAATAACAATAACAATAACATAATAATAATTTTTAGAGTTAATAGTAAACATTAAAAATTAATATTCATTACAAAAAATTTTTAATTTTAAACTTTTACAATTGACCCTGACGAGTTTTCATCTTTTGAAATCTTTCCATGATAGTATTATTGTCAATGTCATCAAAAACCCTTATAAGGCGGTTTTGAAAAGAACCCTTATAAGTTAGAGTAATGTTAAGAATCTTAAATATTTTATATAAGTGTGAGACTCATATAGATTTATATGGTGTGAGTTTCACACTAAGCTATCGTTCATCCATTCATCACCCATTCGATTCCGTAACCGATTCTTCACAATATTCATAACTGAAAATACACTCTCAATAGTAGCAGTTGCAACAGGCAAGATTAATGCTAAAGTGAAGAGCAAATACACCAATGGATATATTTTGTCTCTTTCAGTCTCCACCATTTTCTTATCAAGATCGGTAATTACATTCAACCTTGATAACTCACTACTGGATAGCATGTTGATAACATATGTATCAAGTTGATCATTAAGTATCATGAGCTCCATTGAAGAAAATTCTTTGAGATAAAATTCGGCAAGATGAATTAACTTTTTCTTATCAAAACTAGAGAAAGAGTTAGATGGATTAACACATGCCACACAAAGTAACAACTCAGTGTTCGACTCAGTGAAACGAGCATTTAGTTCTTGAATTTGCATATCCAAAACAGTGTAGAATAACTCAGCACAATAATGATGTAAGTTTGTAATTTCTTGAGCATTGCACCTTTTTCTCCTTCGAGCTACAAACATATTATCTATTTGGGGAACATCAATTTCATGCTTTTCACAAAAAGACAAAACATCATCAAGTGAAGATGTCCACCCACTCTCCCTTATCTTTTGGAGCCGTACTTTAGAAATTTGAACTAAATTCATGGCATTAACAATATCTTGATCTTTCCTTTGTAGTGCTTGGGATAACTCACTTGTAATAGCCAATATCATTTTCATCAAATAAAGGTTGAATACAAACTCAAATGATTGAATTGAGTCCAATAATACATTTGCTTCTGCTCGTTGTTCTAAATTTGAACCATCCTCTGAAATCATTTCAAGTACATCAATCACTGTTGAAAACATACTAGCCAAGCTGACTAAAGTACCATAGTGCGAACCCCAACGCGTATCACCAGCTTGTTTAAGATTAGTTTCTTGATTTAAGTTTTGTCCACTAGATAGCTCTCCATTATTAAGTGCCTCAACAACTTTTGCAACTTGTTTCTCCCTAACAATATCTCGACGTTTACATGATGCTCAAACAACATTCACCACATTAGAAACCGAAGTGAAAAGTAAAACAATTTGATCATGATTCTTTGCTATAGCTACAAGTGTCAATTGCAATTGATGAGAAAAACAATGAACATAATATGCAGAAGGATTCTCTTTCAGTATAAGTGTTTTAAGACCATGCATATTACTAGTCCCATCATATCATTGACCCCGCAATCTGGAAATACTCAATCCAAGTATAGAGAATACATTTTCCACAGCTTGTTTGAGTGAGAGAGCATTCGTATTAGCAACATGCTCAATACCCAAAAAGCACTTAATCAATTGGCCTTTTTTGTCAACATATCGTATTACAACTGTCATTTGCTCCTTGATTGATATGTCACAGGCTTCATCAATCAAAATAGAAAAAAGTGCATCACCAAGATCTCTAATAATCACATTGATAGTTTCAAATGCGGCCACATTTACAATATCTTTTTGAATATCAGGAGATATCAACTTGAGATTTTGTGGAGCATTGCTCAATGCTTCATTATGATCAACAAGAGAATTGAGAAGTTCAAGAAAATTTTCTTGGTTACTTGGATTTTCAGATTCATCATGCCCACGAAATGCAAGTCCTTATCTTAGAAGAAATTTGACATAATCAACCCATGCATTCAAATGAGTTCGATACTCAATTCGAGCTTGATTAGATTGTTTGAAAAAAACCGTTTGAATATGTTTATTTTGGTTTAACAAACATTTACTCGAAGCTTGATTATGAGCACTATTGGGACCTCTAACATGAGTCTGGATTTTTTTTTTCCTTCCAATTTGAGAAACTCTCACCAACAAAATAATCACAACCAACTTGATCTCCAATATCGAGTTTGAAACTATAACAACATAAACAAAATGCTGTATCTTTTGCTACGCTATACTCCAACCAATTAGGAAATTCACTAAACCAAGCCTGATTAAATCGCTGAAGTTTTTGTCCAAATGATTTTTGTGAAAAATTATGATCACGAGGTTGACAAGGACCTTTTTGTAGATATGCCCTTCAAATTTGGTCTCGATCATTAGCATTATAGTCCATAATCCGAGATTGTAGACCTGGATCTATAGGAAGGTCTACTAAGTTGATTTCTATGCAACTTTGTTTTGCGGAAGAATAATTATAATCTTCTTCTTAAGAAAGATTTAAAAAAATAAAAATAAAAATAAAAATCAAAATTCATAATCAAAACCACAAACCCCCACAAATCAAAATCTCCAATTTTAATACAAATCAAAAAATTTAAATTTAGCACGAATCACAACAAATAAAATTTCTAATATACCTATATTATAACAAATGAAAGTCCCTAATTTAAATAACAAATACTACAAATTAAAAATTTTAATTGTAGCACAAATCAAATCTCTAATTTTAGCACAAACAACAACCAAAATCCCTAATTTTAATATAAATCACCATCAATTAAGATTAATAATTTTAGCATATCAAAATCTCTTATTTTAACATAAATAATAACAAATAAAAAAATTTTACAAATCAAAACTTAACAAATAACTATAAATTAACACTCATAATTTTTATTTAAAAACAAAAAATCATAAATAAAGTTACCCTTAAACAATGAATACTAAAGTTGTAGTGTGATTCCAAATCTGTGTTGTGTGATCTTAATCTGGTGAATCGCGAGTTAGTAAATTGCAAAGCAACAAAGAGAGATAAAAAAAATAAAAAAAAATATAAAGACACCCAACAAATACTGTAAATAAATAAAAAAATGAAAAACTGCATACACCTTTAGATTTTAGGATTTCAGCCTTGCTACCATTTTTCCATGAATAATAATAAAAAAAAAGTAACTGGATTGGAGTTGTGTTAATGTGTTTGGGTGCGTGTGTTAGTGTGTTTGGAAATTGGGTGCATGTGTACATGTGCCAGTGTGTTTGGAAATTGGGTGCGTGTGTGCGTGTGTGCGTGTTTTTGGATCAAATTGGGCTGTTGTGTATATAGGCATTGTGTGTAAGCCACAAACAACCCTAAAAAAAAATAAAATTGAAAAGTCAGGGGGGCAGATGACCCCCATGTCCCTCCTCCCTTACCCATGGTATTGTATATTTCTATCATCAGATATAATTTATTTTTCATCCAAAGGTAAAAAATAATTACTATCATTTTTTTCTATCGTATATTTTATTTTAATCAGTTATAGTATAAGTGATACAATTCATCTCATATCTTATAACATATTAATTCTTAGGTATTACATATCCTCCTCAAATCCTTATATACAATATGAACAATCAAACAGGACCTTAAGTTATAATCTAAAAATGCAATCAAACACTATGAGTCAACCTTTTTTAAGCTAATAAGCAAAAAAAAAAAGAGTTCTGTGAAGCATAATTCCTCTACATAAATTTGTTTTTGTAAAAAGAAATTAAAAAAAAAAAAAGAAAAGGGAAGAAAAAAAGGGAAAAAGTGGTAATAGGACATAGATTGATACTGCACAATTGGTATGCATGGTATTAATGAGACATACATTGATACTGCAATTCAGTAATCCGACCACATCACATTGAGGATTTTACTAAATAATCAGTTCGTAGTGCAAAAGTTTTCTAACTCACAAACAATGGAGAGCCAAACATAATGGTTTAACAATATATACCAATGAGAGAGATGAGCAGTAGCATATATATAATAACATGTAATACATTGTATGAATTGGTGACTATGCATGAAGCATAAAGTCATCATCATCTTATAAATGATGGATTATATTGGTTGACTTGAGGAGGAGGGGCAAATAGACTTGACCATTCGCCTGAGTTCTTTTGCAACGTCTATCATTTCCGGCCTCTCTTCTCTTTTCGTTTGAGTGCATCTCACGGCAAGTGCTAGTACAACTTGTAATTGTTGTTCTTGCTCAATTCCTCCTCTTTCTTTCAGAATTCTTGGATCCACAAATCCGTTGAACTGATCCTTTTCTACAGAATCTTTCACCCATACTTGTAAGGATTGTTGATTTGTGTCACGGTACAAGTCCATGGATCTTTTCCCGGTCAGAAGTTCAAGAAGAATCACGCCAAAACTATAAACATCGGACTTCTCAGTGAGAAAGCCTGTTGACATGTACACAGGGTCTATAAATCCAACTGTCCCATATGCCTCGTCTTCCACCTGTGTTTCTCCAGGAGGAATTGATATAGATAAGGAGAAATCTAATAATTTAGCAACACCAGATTGATCTATGATAATATTACTTGGTTTTAGGTCTCTATGGATGATGGGTGTTGAAAACGCAGTGTGCATGTAAATAACAGCATAGGCAATGTCATTTGCTATCTTTAGCCTACTGTTCCATGTTAATGATGATGATCCCCCATTCTCTGCCATGCCACCTTCACTTTTGTACAAACAGTTGTAAAGTAATTCGATTCTCCCTCCTGCTGCATATTCATACACTGAAGCAGGAAAGTCCAAGTCTAGACAACAACCTATTAGCTTTAAAACATTTTTGTGACTACTCATTAATGACGTAATCACCATGTCGCGGATAGCCTGAGACTTTGCATAAATCGAATGTGAGCCATTATGCTTCTTGATTAAAATTAGGCGTTTGTCAAAAGAGCCCTTATAAATTTTAAAATCGTCAACTAGCACAATTTGATTGGAGTAAAATCCATTTGTTGCCTGAGAGAGCTCTTGGATAGAGAATCTACGAATAAAAGTATTATATTTGCCATTTGAAAAAGCAATAAGATCCTCCAAAAACATGCTTCCATTTTCCAGGAAATTCTTTTCTTGATCTGAATCATTCTTATTATCAAAGATGGACGATAATATTCGTCTTCCAAACGCCATCAAGTGAGTGAGAGAGAGCCTCCAAGTGTTGTTTGTCAGTAATTAGTCACCTGCGCCTGCCATACAAAATGATTCACAAAATTACCCACACAGAGAGGGGGCAACTATTTTGCTTTGGCAAATCACAAATATTAGAAGCTTACATAACAGATCTACCATTAATCATCAATTACAGAATCAATGAGAATACCAATAACTAGAAAGAAAAGACACAAATCAAATAAAAAAGTTAAAAAAGAGACTAACAATTCTAATAACTATTTTTCCTTAAACTAGATTGGAAGAACAAGATTTAACCTATTGTTTTGAGTTGCGCATGCACTGTCTGTCTGTGTATAGAATAGAATCTGAACGATGAAGAAGATCTTAAGTCCATGTCCCCTCTCTCTCTCTCATCTCTCTATTTTTCATACATAAATGCACTCACTCTCCCTCTCATGTTGTGTGTTTGGTTGGGGGATTTGGAGAGAGATTTAGAAAGGGAAATAGAAAAAATAGGTGAAATGTGAATAAAATATGTATATATTTCACATAATTTCACACACCTTTTCCCTTTCCCTTTCCAAATCCCTCTCTAAATCCCTCAACCAAACACACTAGGGAACTTCTAGTGACTTTCGCATTAAAACGAGGCTAATTATTCAGTAATTTTAGAATATGAACATATGGTATTTATAATGTTATAATTGATGAAGAAGGGGGATCGATGAGATATTGTTTTGAGTGATTAAAAAAATATGAAAAGACATATTAAATAATAATTAATTATGAAGTACAAATATGTAATACTCCAAAATATTAAATAATTTTCCAAAAGGAGTATGTTGAGAGTTAACAAGTCAACACAGACTTCGTTTTTTCTCCCACTTGGGTGTTTTCACGCTTTATTTACCGCAGTGTTCGCATATTTAAAAGCAAAATGTTCGGAATCAGGGAACCAGATTTATCGTCTCAGAATATGCCGCATAATCATTTTGTGTGGTGATGTTTAAATTGACAACAAAGTGTTCATTTGATAAGTGAATTTTTTTAAAACTAAATTAGTTTATAAAAAAAATGTTAGAAAGCATAAAATGTCATAATATTATTTATTTTTTCAAAAATGTAAACAAAAACTAACTCAAATCAACTAACTCAAAAATGTAAAAAAAATTAGGGTCTCAAAAATTTAGGATCCAAAATTACCCAAAAATAGGTGTATATAGCGAAAATTGAATTGATAAAATATGAGGTCTACATATAAAATGAATCTAAGTTATTGCTATAAAATTCTAGATAATTTTTAAATTTTTATGTCTAAATTCGTAGTATTACTGAATTAATAAAGGGTGAAATTTATGAATAAAATAAAAAACAAATTTGAATTATTAATTGCTATTTAGTAATATTTGCTTAAAAAATTATGAGTTTGTAGTATGTATTCAAAATACAAAATAACAGATGTTTTATATAGTGCATTTTGCTCTGTTTTTTCACATTTTTTTATTGTGTTCTGTCACTATCTCATATATTAATATTACATCAATAATATGGACAGACATTCTCTCAAGTGTAAAATCTGAACTTGACTGTTATGTTAAAGTCTTTAGGATTTATTATGCATTTTATTTCAATGATTCAAATTATTTATTATGTAAAAATTTTCATGTTTACCATTTTTGGAAAAAAAATTAGGTTGTTATGCCAATCATAACATTTTTATTTCTTCTTATTGTATTTATAGTTATGAAATTATACATTTAGTGATAAATTATAATCTTTTTAAGATTAAATTTTTTATCTAAAAAAATAAACATTTTTTAGACCAAATTATTTCATCTCTAAAATTACATTTATTAACAACATTTTTCAAATTTTCTCCCTAACTTTTTTTTAGAATTTTTTCGGGACAACCTTTTAATGATTATTCTCGCGACGATAAGTATTGGTCTTCAAATATTTTAATAATAAAATTTTTACTTTTAAAAACAAAATTGGAGAAATACGCACGTCTAAATATTGGTATGAATTATTATTATGTTAGAATATTTAAGAGTTGGGTATTGGAGTCTTATATATAACTTTGTAATTTGATCATTTGAAATCTGAATGAAATACAATAGTTTGTATTTTTTTCTCCAATTCCCTTCCAATCCAAGGATGTGTGAATAATTATTGTGTAGCTAAACTTATTTCTAACAAAAAAATAAAATCAAAAGTTGAGAGAGTTTACCAAATACAATTGTTTGGAAAAAATTTACAAAATTTAAAAATTTATTTGGTTGTATGTTTAGTTTTAAAGTTTTTGAATTTGGGATGATTTTAATTTTTTATTATTATAATTGAATAGATAGATATAAGAGAAAAAATAATTAATTAATATATAGTATGTGAAAAAAAAAGAGAAAAAAAATTGATTAATATATAATACAAAAATAATTTTAAATTATTAACCAAACAAATTTTTTAATTTTTTTTTAAAAAATTGCCACCCCTCTCTCTATGAATGCGTGACCTTTGGAAATTCGTAGTGTCTTTCAAATGCACTGTCTTCCACTTTCTCACTCTCCTGATGCTTTTCCACCGTGTAAAGAAAAGTCTTACGACATTTTCTGCTCAGAAATGATACATACCCCTACAAACATTCGAATTTGGATCATCGGCCGCCCTACCCGGCAGCCCTACCCGGCAGCCCCCCAAAACGACGTCGTTTTGGGGTTTCCATTAACCTTATTTTGATAATTCGAATAGTTCATTTTGTTAAAAATTTCATATATTTCATTTAAAAAAATTTAGATTGATCTAATAATTGTAGTTTATTCAATTTATTACGTTTGTCACAAAAAAAAATGAATGATTAATTTTTAAAAACACAATTGTCGTCGATTTTTTAAGTGACAAATATAATAAATTGAACAAATTACGATTATAATATCAATCTAATTTTTTGTATGAATAAAATATACAAATTATCTAACAAAATGAATTATTTAAATCATTAAAATGGAATTCATGATGAGTCTCACGGATTCAAATAGCGTCCTTCTGTCCATAATCCTCTTCCATTTTGAAATTAGAAATGTATTAAGAGAGAGAAAATTTGAAAATAAGAAAAATTCAAATAAAAGTTTTGTGAAAGGAAAAGTCTGAAAACTAGACATATACATTCAAAATTTTCTGAATGAGTAGTTGTATGATAAAGATGAAATTTGTATAATATTAAATTTATATATAAAATAAATCTAAATTATAAGGTAATAATTTTTATTAATTTCTAAATTGGTAGGTTAGAGATGATAGTATTAATGTTTGCGAAATGTGTTTCACGGTGTTGCTTTTGTGGTGGGAGCAAGATAGAAAAAGAACAAATAGCGACACACGTTCGTGCAAATTTCCGACTTGTCTCATATAAAGATCTGAGAGGGTGATTTATGATCTGGAATTGGGCCGAGGCAACGGCCGAGCAGGACGAGAGCCCAACCGTGCATGGGGTCGAGATGATCGACTATCCGCCCGGAGATGGGCTGCCAGAACATGGCCCGGGTAGGAATTGGGCCAAGTGTGAGCCGCCCCGGACCGAAAAGAAGCTCGGCAAGGCAGTGCTCGGTTGGACCGAGCTGCTTGATCAGGGGATGGCTGATGCCAGACAAGCTGAGTGACCGGCACCCGGAAAGGCGTGGTCAACCGAGGAGACCGTTTGATCGGCAGGAAGGCCGATCACAGGAGGTGCCCGGGCTAGGCTCTGTCGAGATGCCGCCTAGCCCGGTCCTCCTTGGGTTTATCCAGTGAGGTGCTTGGGTATGAAGCATAGCACGGCCGTGGATAGAGTAGCTCGGCTGCCGAGCTCCTGCAAAGTAGGCAGGCAGTTGAGATTAGGTGATGATCGGCAAGGTTTATGCTGACAGATGGGATAGTGGAGCCACGTGTCAAGAGATGACTGGGAGTGGATATGGGGCGCAGAGGGTATATAAGCATGTCTGCGTCCCCCATACGCGACAGACGAACACTTTTGTAAGGAATTCTTACACTCAAACACTCTCTCCCTTCTCTCTATCTATCCTAAGGTGTGTGCTAACTTGATCGTCGGAGGGTTTTTCCGGCCACACACCGCCGGGTAGCTCACCGTTACTTGCTCGCAGGTGATCAGACATAAACGGAGCTCGGAAGAAAGGAGTACGGGCTTGCCAGAATATTTGCTCCCCGTACAATTGGCGCCGTCTGTGGGAACTTGACAGACAAAACCTTGTCTTCCAGGTTCATCTGATCGCCGTCCATGGCGAACAACGACGAGTTTCCGTTGTCTGCCATAGACGGAGCCACCCCGGAGTATACCCGAAGGAGAGAGGGACCTCCTGCCATCCATCCAATGGCGGACTTGGGGACGTCCACCGGAGGACAGTCAGGAGACGCGCGGGATAAGCGCAGAAGAAGTCATGGTCATTCACGGAGTCCAAACGGTCATCGGCGGAGGAGAGACTCCCACGCCAGACGTCTGGAAAATAAGCTGAAGGACCAGGACGCCGTCATCTGGCGAATGGCAGCGGAGATGGAGGAGCTGAAGCGGCATGTCAAAGGGAAAGGTATAGCTGGAGTGGGAGACCACAGTGAGCGCACCCCATCCCGCAGTTCAGGCGGTCAGAGTCAGCGACGTACTCAGTCCATATCTATTACCAGAAGTTACCAGGTTGGTGATTCCGACGCGCATGCAGAAAAATCTAGCGCGCAAGACAGCACGTACAAACCCTCACGTCCGGTGACGACGTCGAGGTATTCTTACTCTGCTCAGTCTGAGGATTTGCGGGCGGTATTAAAGGAGCGGGCTCGCCGGCGCGAAGCTCAGAGAATACCGGCTTTCCAGCGGCTATCCTATGGGGTTCACGCCAGCGAGGAGGTCGGAATGCCTCTACCCCGCCAAGCAGTGCCACTCTTTGAAGATTCGGACTTGGCCAGACTGAGTGCCACCCCTTTTTCCCTGGAAATAGAGACAACACCGCTTCCGGCAGGCTTCCACCAGCCTAAGTTCACACTTTACGACGGAAAAACCGATCCATACATGCATGTGAGCCACTTCCGACAGGTTATGGCCGGACATAGACGCAATGACGGACTTATGTGCCTAATCTTCCCGTCAAGTTTAGGCGAGCTGGGCTTAAAGTGGTTCGAGAGGTTGCCGGAAGGGAGCATTCAAAGGTGGCATCAGTTGGCCGAGGCGTTTGTTACACGCTTCAAAACCAACACAAAAATGCCGAAGGAAGTCGATCACTTGCTAAGTGTCA